GTGATGGACAAGCTGGAGATGTCAATTTATCCTTTGCTAGAGATTCCATTTTCACCCCAGATCTTCTATTGCTTCCAACTTGTCCAAAGAGGCTGAAAGTGTTGGCCAAACTGCTCAGGAGCCAAATTGGTCCAGAGATCTCCAGTTGGTGACCTCTGGACCAATTTGGCTCCTGAGCAGTTTGGCCAGCACTCTCAGCCTCTTTGGACAGTTGGTGACCTCTAGTTTATGTTCCTGTGAATCAGCTGGACACCACCTTTAGGGCTGCAGCCTGATTCTTAGCCATCTTTCCCAGTCCTTTTCTGCAACAATGGAGTAAGATGGCATCTTGCTGGGTGAACGGCTCAGCCTCTCCCCTGGAATGACACAATGGATAAGAGAAATGTTATCTCACTGCATCAAGGTAAGTTGAGATCACCAATTTCGGGGAATCCACGGGTCTTTCAATCCACCTTAAAAGATCTCCCTCCCCTCCCCTTCCCGCCCTCCCTCCCTCTCTCAATTGCATCTCCCCGGGTCCCCTGGGTGTGAGGAAGGGAAAGAGGAGAGAAGATCTGTGCATTTTAGGAGTGAGGGGGGGAGGCGGCTTTGGCTAGGAGATGCAGAGAAGGAAGAGAGAAAAAAACAGGCGAGGGATGAGTAAGAGAAGGGGAGCCGGAGAGGAAAAGAGGGGGAAAGAGAGAGAAGGGGGGAGAGATCTGAGATAAGGCGGGGAAACCAACCCTCTATAAGAAGAAGTGGGGAGAAAGAAGAACGGCTGAGGAGGACGGCAAAGACACTGAAGGAGCGATTGCAGAGAAAGGGAAGGTGGAAGGAGAAGAGAAAGAGTGAGGGGGAGAACATAAGAAAAAAGGGGGAGAGAAAGACAGGTAGAAAAAGAAAAGCTAGAAGAGCAGAGGGAGGGAAAGCAGAAGGTAAGCCGGGGAAAGAAGGGGGCAGCGCGGAAGAGGCTAGTTCGCTGGGAGAGGCGGTGGGAAAGAAAGAAAGAAAAGAAAAGAGAGCGAGAAAGAAGTAAAGTTAAGGACGCCTCACGGGCAGCAGCGTCTCCTTCCCGCCACCCTCCAGATCCAGTCCCAGCGACCCCAGCCGCGGAGCGGGCAGTCCCGCTGTTAGATCGCGCAGGCAGTAAGACACGAGTCGAGTGACAGTCAGCTCTCGGTTTATTGGCAAGGCATCAAGTAAATCCGGACTGGCTCTCTGGGCCAGGGGAGCCCTCTTTTATGGGATTCCCCTGGCTTGTAATCACACAGTTCCTATTGGCTGGCAAGACCCTGTTGCTAGTTAGCCAACCAGCAACGGGCATGA